AACAACAACAACAACAACAACAACAACAACAACAACAACAACAACAACAACAACAACAACAACAACAGACACGCTTAGCGAATTATATAAAGCAGGATATTTGTGTTATTTTCGTCTGCATGGCATTCAATTGTGATAGCATGCGATTGTATGTTGATTTAGTATTGGGTCAAAAGACTGAACAAGTCTGATTTGTGCATTGAAAATCTGAGAAGGAGTGATCCGCTCCGCTATGCATGCATTCGCTTCAAAGAATGAAAGAGTTTTAGTCCGAATACTGTTGCAAATGCTTCTTGCTGAATACTCTCGTAGCTCTTCTAATATTTGCTGAGAGTCTACTCGCACTGGCAAAGGAGTGATCTTCTGGGGCTTTTGAGTTCAATTGCGGAAACATGCTCCAGGAATGCTATCGCTCACGCCAAGAAATTGAAGTTCGTGGATGCCAAATGGACAAGGGTGGCTGAATACTTCAGGAATTCAAACAAACACTGAGGCCTGGGCTAGTGTGATCAGAATTATTCATGAAAACTCCTAGCAAAAGGAATGCTAAACTAGCTCCCTACTATTTGGTGAAACTTCCAGTCAGGGCTCCTGGAAGACCCCGATCACAAATGATACCAGCATACTCCTCTCAATCACACATGCTGCATTTATTCGATCATTTACAGCCTAATCACATCACTTTGTATGGCTATAACTCTCTCTCCAGATATCGAAAAAACGTATTCTTTTGATGTCCCCTAAAGACACTCCAGGAGTTTTTGGTGGCACCCAGTACTACTATGGAGAGGAAGGGGTTCAGTCTGATTTATTCTGGATCCAACAGTGAGTTCATGTTGTCCTTATTCTGAGCCCTGCAGGAGGCATACGCTACCTTAACTACCATATCCTACATATCTTTGACCAAGACGCTTAAATGAGCAGAAGTCTGGCGGAGTCTCAAGCCATCTAAGCAGTCGTGAGATTTTGTGCTCAGGAAAACATAGGGTTAGCTATAGTGTAACACCTTGTAAAATTTTATTCTAAACTAGTGCACAGAATCGCGACTTTGCTGCTACCATTTTTTCAATACTGGGACGACGAGAGAAGTCTTTTTCTAGATGCTCTGTTATCGTTAGTGATAAACGAATCTCAATAATTGTTCAAGTTCGGAGAACCTAACAAATCCGGCGGCCAACGTCAGACTGATGTTGATGGCTGTTTCATAATCGTCAGTTGAGGCGAGGTCCTTTGGCAAACCTTCCACGAGAGTCGTGATATATAATAAGATTTGATTCCCTCAATCCTCTGAAAGTTAGCAATTAATAGCGACTGTGAGTAGCTCG